CTCACAGGGAGGAGGCCAAAGTGACCGTGACAGAGCAGGACCCAACTCAGGCTGCCAGGATCCTGGCCACGTGGAGCATCTCCCTTTGTTTGCTGGTTTTGAGCGCCTCGTTCGCCATTTGAGATGAGATGGAGTTGCTGGAGCTGAGTCCCAGAGGATCTTGGAATAGGGATAGACAGAGATGGAGGCGGTGGGGGAGACAAATAGGAAAAGTAGGAGGAGGAGGAGAGGATAAGAAGAAGACATTAGAGGTACTGAAATGTCATCGGGAGATGCCTGACTTTTGTTTTGTGTAGAAGGAGGAGGAGGAAGGGATAGATGGAGCGGAAGGGAGGGGCAGGAGCAGGGAAGAAGGAGAGGAAGGGGGAGAAGCAGACAGAGATGGAGAACAGATGGTGCAGAGACAGACAAGTGTGGACACTGAGGGAGACGTGAAAACAGACAGTGAGCGGGAGAGAGGAAGGCCAGAGGGGACACAGGTAACGAGAAGGAAGCGGGAAAGAAAGAAATGGACAGAGCAAAGGACACTGCAAGAGAAACAATCCCAAACAGAGACGAGGACACCCCCAGAGCCACAGACACACACAGAGACAGGGACGCCACCTCAATGGGCACGACTGCAGAGCCCCAGGCAGGGCTGCTGCGGGGGACTGAGACTGTCAGGGGCAGATGGCGGGCAGTGGCTTTTTTGTTTTGTTTTGTTTTGTTTTGTACCTCAGTCAGCTCAATTCAGAGCTCTCTTTGAAATAAAAATAAGAGTTCCCAGAATGAAGTTCCTCCTTCTTCCAATGCCTGCTCCCTGAGAATTATTAAAACAACAGTAACAACACAGTCCACAAGGTCATCATGTCTGAGATTCTAAGGAGTCACGTGTACATTATTAGAACACATCTCCCAGCCAGGCCCCTCCCTACTGCCCTGCTCACCCTCTGCACACGCAGCCCCCCAGGGACAGCACTTCTCAGTATAGAGGATCAAAGGCTGCAGATAATGGATGCACTTCCAACCGCCCCCCAAGTTTTCCTGACAATAGCTCCTCCTGTCGGTGGTGATGTTATGCCTGCCTTCCATGAGCTCAGCACCAGCACCAAGAGAGGAGAGGGGTGGAGGGGAAGGAAGGGGAGGGGAGAGCAGAGGAAAAGGGAGGGGAGGTCTAGCCAATGTCAGGCTGAGGGTCCCCGGCAGGAAGGAATGTGTCTGAGGGGTCAGGTCAGACGGAGAAGTGTGTGACACACATACTCACAAACACATGCACACACACATGCACACATTTTCTTTGCTTCAAAGCTGGGAAAGGGATTACCAATTTGCAAAAGCTAGAACTCTTAGGCATATGGCCACAGACAACTGCAGCTGTTTTCTGAGGGTATTCGCAAGACTGAACTTGGTCGCAGTGGCTCTCTGTGGTTCCTGATTACTCAACATGCATCCCCATCTTCTGGGAATGTTAGGAAAATGCCAAAATAATTTTCTCATAAGCCTATTTTGTACTTGAAAT